GAAACACACACACACACACACACACACACACACACACACACACACACACACACACACTGCAGTGGGTCATAAAATCCAGAAATGCAAAAACACTTCAATTTATTCTTAAAGCATGAATGACTTTCATGATGAAATATTACTTCTCTGAAACAAGGGAGCTGAAGGGCTCCTATACCTTTGGAAAATTAAAATGATTTCATTAGCAAGTTTACCAAGGACTTTTAATTGTGTATTTTAGCAAGAAATCCAAAGGCAATATCACTCTTGATAACAGCACACATTTCCCGTGTCACCGGAGTGGATATGTGAAATAATGTGGCTTCCATAAAGAATTTGTGGTCACGACACAACTATGATGTCTTGAAGTGTCTTGATTTTCAATTTTGCTCTCCTGGCTTAATGATCTTCTTATGCTCTTAGCAATTTCTTATCTCTGATATGAAAGGCTGCATATTTGCAACATCAATATTTTGGGGCTATATATTTCCTATACATTGGCCATAAGGACTACACTTCTTGAATAAAATTCTCATTCCATTCATATTTTTAAAACTGATATACTCATAATTTCTCTAACATTTATTTTTCATAGACACACCCAGCCATACTGGGTTTTTTACACCTAAGCATTCCATTTTTATTTTCTCTAAATAGTAAATTTCCTTAAGCTGCTACTCATGGATTTTTTTTTTGAGACAGGGTTTCTCTGTGTAGCTCTGGCTGTCCAAGAACTCACTCTGTAGACCACACTGGCCTCAAACTCACAGAGATCCTCCTGCCTCTGCCTCCCAGTGCTGGAATTAAAGGTGGGAGCCACCACTGCCGACTCAACTCATGGATTTTAAACACTAATGCTTTTCTAACTTTACTGATTCTTCTTGGCTCAAAGAACAGACAAGATGGAAAGTTATTATGTTCCTCAACAGAGAAAGTCTTCCCTTGTATTAAAAAAATTAAAATGAACACAACTTACCTTATTGTTGAAGGGACAATTGTACAATGTAGTTTCACTGTGGGCATTATTACCTATAAATACAGACTTTTACTATATCTTCAATTAATAACATATATAATAATTCAATTATTCATTAATTAAAGTGTTATGAAGCATAAAATATGAGTAAATAGGAAAATTATTAAGTGGAGAACAAGGGCATATTATAAGTATACTCGGTGAACTGAATGTTATATTCATACAGACTGACTTGAGTAGTATATTGAGGAGTCAGTTATGTTCAGATAAAAATTTTCAAACCCTAGAATTAACAACCTCTATTTCACTAAACCCTTTTATTTTTCTTTCAGCACTTGCCAGAACTGGTCAGTTGCAAAGCACAGTTTTCTAGGCTCGCCACTGGTAGCTTCTGATCCTCCTCTAATATTACCATGAGACCCCAATTTCCAGCCCAGCCACACAGGGTAGTCATACTGCTTCTCCCTCTCACAGTTACTAGTTTAGACTGGTTGTTGAATAGGTCTCTATTTGGCTTCAAACTCTTCTTTTCCCTCCCAATATCTGTCCTGTATTCCTCTTCTTATCACATTCATATGAATCACTTGAGTGTTGCACAAATTTAATTTCCTCTATCAATAACATGTATATCAGCAATCAGATGCCAGTTCCATAAGTCATTATCATCCTTCATAACAAATTCCCATGTACATTTCTCATTTACACTTTACATGTGAGAAAATTGAGATTGATTCATTCATGAGAAGATGTGAAAGAGTTCATGCCATGAGAAGAACACACAGAGATGAGGTGGTAAGGGATTGATGCTGTCCAACACAGCTAACCAGTGGACCTCCAATATTAGTACAATAGGAGGAAAAGAAAGACTGTAATCTAACCAACCAAAAGAACAGGAAAAAGCAAGCCCCTCTCAACAATAACTTTAAATGAAAAATGATCACAACTTTCTAACACATCACTAGCTAACTGACTGGATTTAAAAACAAGATCCATTTATCTCTTGTCTCCAAAAGTGTACTTAGCTAGCAAAGGCATCCAAAAACTGAGTGTGAAAGAATGAAAATCAACCTACCAATCAAATGGAAGTCATAATATGCAAGCATAGCAATTATTATGCTTGCTAAAGAAGACAGCTGAGCAAAACTAGTCAGGAGACATAGAGAGGGACCTTCCATATTAACTAAAGAACATTCACTAAGTAAATACAGCAACTCTAAATATGTACACGCTGCATATTGGAATGTTATACAACACTAAGAGACATAAAAGATCACATATTTACCAGCACAATACTAGCAACATTACTCCATTCTAATATTTATATAGATCTTTATATTGGTTGCATCATATGGCACAAAGTAATCCCTATTAAATTAAAAAAAAAAACCATATTGGGGCAATTCCTTGTATTTATCAGACCACAGTGAAAAAATATAAACAAATAGCAAGAGAAACCTCAGAAATGACACAAACACCCAGAGGCTAAATAATATACTTTTGAATGAGTAGTGGGGCATTAAAGAGGTCAAGGGGGAAATTTTCTTTAAAGCCCAGAAATAACAAAACAACCCCAATAGTACACCTTACCTGATCCTATGGATTCAGCTAAGGCAGCCCTAATGAAAGGTTATAGCTATGAGCACTAGCAGTAAAAAAAAAAAAAAAAAAAAGAGAAATCTCAAATAACCTAATGGTGTACCAGAAGACTCTTGAAGAACACGCAACAACCTAAACCCAATAGATGGCAAGAATAAAGATTAGAGCAAGGGTTAACAAAATAGGAACTAAAGGGATAATGCACAGAATAAAAAAAGAGTTGGTTCTGTGAAAAGACGAACAAGATTGACAAAAATCTCCACAAAGAAAAGCCCAGGACTAAAAAGATTCACTGATGAGTTCAGCCCAACTTTTCAGGAGGATTTAACACCAATATTTCTCAAAATGTTCTAAGAAATATAAAGAGAAGGCAAAGCCTCATATTTATTCTATGAAGCCATTATTACCCTAATGTCAGAACGGGACACAACATGATAAAAAGAGAATGCCAGACTATCCTTGATGAATATATATGGAAAACTCTTCACAAAATTGAACATGTTAAGAAGATCAAACACCATGACCAAGAAGGCTGCACTTTCAGTCTGGTTGCTCATATGCAAATCACTAATTATAATACATAGTGTAATTAAAATTGAGGACAGAAGTCACGTGATCATTTCAATAGATGCAGAAAAGGCATTTTACATAGTTCACATGATATCAATCCTGGAGAAATTAGAAATAAAAAGAATATTTCAAATTAAAGACCATACATAATAAATCTATAGTCAATATTATACTAAATATCAACAATCTGAAAGAATTTTTTTCTAAAACCTTGGGGATGACAAAGGTAATCACTCCACTGTTTTTCAATATAGTACTCAAAGTGATGGACCTAGATGGTCCCCACTATTTTTCAATATAGTACTCAAAGTGCTTCACCTAGACAAGGTGAAGACATAAGAGATTAAAAATAGAAAAAGTAAAATTATTCCTTTTCATCACATGATTCTGTAATTAAAAGACCCTACAAACTCTACCAGAATACTCTGAGATCTAATAAACACATGGCACAATGTTGCAGGATTTAAAACCAACAGGCAGAAACCATCATTTTTCATATATATCAATAACAAACTTTCTAAAAGAAATTTGGCAAAAACACTTCACTCACAACATTTCAATAAAACGAAACAAAACAAACAAAACCATAAGTAGTAATAAACAGAATGAAGGAAGTGAAAGGTTCTATAATGAAAAATGTCCCCCCAGGGACCCAAGGGAAAACAGTGTGGGCTATCTTTCATATGTTGACCCTGGCTCTGAATGTTTCTATGTATACATACGGATATATGCTGTGAAATGAGAAAAGGGACCATGACAGCAGAAAAAGCGGTCCTGAGAAGGGGAGAGAGAAATCTAACAAAAGTGCTGCTATGAAAATGGAGAGGAAGCTACTGAGGGGGCGGTACAGAAGGGGGCGGTAGGGTCAGGCAGAAGAGCGAGGAGGAAGATCAGCAAAGACAATGCCATGATGGTATCTCACACTTTACATGCTAATTAAAGAATAAAAATAGACGAAGACCCAGAGCTTCTATTAGGTGCCAAAGGACACAATTAGTCAAATCCCAAAGTCCCTTTTCTCTATTATGATGGGACACCCCTTGTTGCTCTAGAGGCACCACACTTTTTTTTTAAAATTTATTTTATTTTTTTATTTTTTTTACTTTCATTTATTTTACTTTTAGTAATAAATTTTTTCTATCTCATACATGATTGGACACATATTTTGCTTTTAAAATTAACAGTCACAAAGAAAGGAACAATGGTTTACTTTTGTAATCAAGGTGACCCCGCAGCTGAATCTTAAGGCCTCAACAATGTTGCCTCTTATCACTCTCACAACCGGAAGGCCTTCTGTTCCGCTTCTTTCTGGCGAAGGGTGATTTGTTTGTCCAGGGGTTCCCATTGGTCAGGCAGTTAGACAGCTGGCTCCCCTCCACTCCTCTGGGCTGCTGCAGGGTTCTTCCCGGTGAACCCGCATGGCCAGCGCAGCAGCTGCGGCAATCCCAGGGCAAGTCTGTGTCTCCGCGCTTCTACCGGGGCTGGCCCAGGAGTCCTGCCTTGGCCGCCAGGGCTTCATTCTGCTGGATATGATATTCCTGAAATCTCATGGATATTCTCTGTGTCATTTTTAAATATTTCTGTAAGCAATGTTCTGAACAGGTAACCTCTTCAGGCTTCACCTCTCTTGTTGTGATGTCTTGAACACAGTCCAAAAAGCAGGTCTCTGTAAGTTTATTGTAGGTTCCCAGGAACTCCTTAAACTGTTTTACCTGGTCGGATTCTGGTATCTGTGCAGCCATATTCTTTCAATGTGTTTATTAATCACCTTTTCTGATGCATGAGTTTCCTTTCCGCTCTGGAAAAGCAATCGCCCCGCCTTTTGCTTGACTGTCTTCAGGGAGGCTGGATTTCTTACTTAGCCACGGTCTCTGGCATCCGATGCCGGCCCCGGGGCCAAGGGGCTGCCGTGCGCAGAGAGTCCGAGATCGGAGGGGTCGGTGGAAGGAGGGGGCCGCGCCACGCCGCGCCCTGCTAAGGTCTTTTAACAGGCTTCTCTAGACAGCAACCCTGCTGAATCATGTCACAGGGAGATGAGCGAACCAAGAACCAGGAAATTCAGATTTCACTGGCAAGTCATGTGCTTTGACAAAATCACCTAAGCCCTTTGGGTCCTCACTGCCCTACTGGGAAATGGGAATAAATGACCTAATCCACATCACGGCGAGTTGATTATAAAAGCCAAATGTAAAAAGGTTCATGGACGTGTTTGTCCAAGCTGTTCCCTTCTGCCATAAAGGATGGTTCCTTTTTTATTTTATGTTTTTTTTTTGGTATGGTTCCTTTTTTAAATCTTAATAACTTTCTAATACCAAGTGATCTCCGACTCTGTGTAGACACGCAAGCCTTGTGTATTTGGTGACTCAAAATTGTCACACAGTCTTGATGGCCTTACTGCTACAGCGACTCTCATGGAGAGATGGAAGTGGGCATGTCACTGGTTTTCTGGGTCTGCCCATGTCACCCAGCTAACCGAAATAGGAAGAGCAGAGACGGAATTCACTACCAGCTGACTGCTAGGCCCCTGGTCTTATTCTTTACTCTATTTTTACTTCCCTCATAAATGTTTTCAATTTGGAGTCATTGTGTCCAACTTGGGATATTGTATCTTCAGTCAGAGAATTACATTGCCCACAGCTATGCTTATTATATATACATAAGACAGATGAGAAAGCCAATGACCTACAAAGGCATCAAAGGTTTTGATCAATGCAGATATAAAAGAGATGGAAAAGGATTGATAGGAATTACCTACCTGATTGATAGGAATTTTGAAAACTTGGGGCAAATGAGGGTTGCTTATTTACCTAGTAATGTGTATAAACTGAAGATGGCGTCTCACTCTGGTATCATGATTCCCTCCAGCAACTTTATGCATGCTCTTGAGGTAAATGCTATTTATTTACAGTATCCTTTGAAAGAAATAGTTGAGGCTTTGAATATATCTCTGAACCACTTTAGATAGGCCCTATAATTTCTAATATGCCTTTGCGGTTGTTTGGACCTAAATACGTTGTGATTTTTCAATGTGATTTCCTTTCCTACTCAGGAATTGTTTGTAGGTGCAGTTAACTCAGATGTGAATCAAAATGTTTCTCCCTCTCTGCATTGTTATTGTTGGTATCTAATTGGAGGGTGAAGTGGCTTTTAAAATGTAATCTATATGATACGGAAGTATGGAGAGATTTTTGAGCTCTCCTTTGTGACACGGTATATGGTCCGTCTTAATCAGTGTTTTATGTGTGCTTGAGGAGCATGTGTACTTTTCAATTTGGAGAGTAAAGAGTTTTCCATAGCTGTAACTGGAGACCTTAATCCATGATGCTTGGGCAGCAACCCAACAGCAATCATAACCCTTATTCAGTGGGAGAAAACTTCTCTGCCCCCTGGTTCAAGCTGTGGAAACACGGGTATCTTTTCTGAGAACTTTTAAACATGGGTCCCATTTTCACTGTGGTCCTACATCGTCTCTTCTCTTCCGGCTCTGCTGAGGACTCTCTCTCGGTGCACGGCTGTTCACTCAAGTGAGGTCGCTTCCGAGGGTGCTGAGATCTGTGGATGGCCCTGGCTCGCACTGACAGGCACAACTGGCCTCTGGCTTCGGGTCCCTGCTCCCCCACCCTTCAGCTTTTAGCCTGCTGCCCCTTAGTGAATGGACCAGCACCCAGAATCTGTCCGGGTCCAGGATCATCGCGACTACTCTCTCTACTTGTCACCTCTTTCCTGGCCGCCCTCAACTCGGTTCTTCGCCCTCCGTCTGCATTTGCTCGCCTTAAGTCAGGCCACATTCATCACTTAGATCATGGGAGTCACTCACTGACTTCTTATTGGTTTGACTACTGCAAAATCCCTCCGGCTGGAGTCACTGGCTTTTCTAAACTGTACACTGGAGTGAATCATTGTCCGCTGAAGTCGGGGAAGACATTGCTTATCTGGCCCTTTGTGATCTAGCTTTGTTTCCCCAAATCCTCTTAAGCACCATCCGTAATCATTTACGTGTCCTGAAAACAAATCTAGACTCCAGCCTTTTTGCAGTTCCCAGCAAGGTTCTGTTAAAGAATAATGTGTAAGATTTTATACCTTTGACAGTAATAAATAATATTTATATACTTTTTGAGTGGGGGAGATAGTACGATGCTTTGGCAGTTAAAAGTACTTGCCATACAAGACTGGTGGCCTGATTTTGTTTCCTAGAACTCAGGTAAAAACAGAGAGAACTAACCCCTTGCCCTCTGACCTCTACATACATGTTGTAGCAGATTTGTCCACATATGTGCATCATGCACAATACTAGCAAATTTCATCTTTAAGTTTTGGTTTATTGTTCTTTTTGAAGATTTATTTATTTTTATGTGCATTGGTGTTTTACCTGCGTGTATGTCTGTGTGAGGGTGTCAGGTCCCCTGGAACTGGAGTTACAGACAGTTGTGAGCTGCCATGTGGGTGCTGGGAATTGAACCCGGGTCCTCTGGGAGATCAGCCAGTGCGCTTTACCCCTGAGCCATCTCTCCAGCCCTGGTTTACTGTTTTTTTGTTTTTGGGTTTTTTTTTTTTTTTTTTTTTTTTTTGGTTTACTGTTTTAACACAGGATCTCATTCTATAAGCCAAGCTGACCTGGTGTTTACTGTGTAATCCTGGCCTCAAACTGACAACAATCCCCCTGCCTCAGCCTCCTTACTGCCAGGGTTACAAAGGCAAGCTACCATAACCATATTTTGAAAATAATGAATGATGGAAAAGAAATTATATATTTGTACACACACACACACACACACACACACACACACACACACACACACCAGAGACCATCTATATGTGCTTAATTTCTCGCCACTGTGACCAAATGTCTAATGAAAACAACTTCAGAGGAGGCTTTCTTTTAGCTCAGGATTTCAAATGTACAGCACCTGCAGCTGCCACGGTGGTTTCTGGTGGTTTCTGGGTCTGTATTGAGGGAGAGCACCAGGTGGGAAGGTGGGGTATAGTCCACTTCATGGTGGTCGGGGAGCAGAGAAGTGGGGCCTGATCACAAGACATGCCTTCTGACTCTCCCAGTGACTCGCTTCTTTTTTTTTTTCTTTTAAAGATTTATTTATTTATTATGTATACAGCATCTATGACTGCAGGCCAGAAGAGGGCACCAGATCTCATTACAGGCGGTTGTGAGCCACCATGTGGTTCTGGGAATTGAACTCAAGACCTCTGGAAGAGCAGTCAGTGCGCTGAACCTCTGAGCCATCTCTCCAGCCCCCATGACTCACTTCTTTCTGTCAGGCCTTGTCTACTGGTTTCTACCACCTCCCAGTGATGCCATTGGATAATGAATTTGTTAATCAATTGGAGAAGTCAAAACCTTCATGATCCCGTGACTTCCCTAATGTCCCACCTCTGAACACGGCATAGGGCACCAGCGTAGTACAAATTGCTACAAAGGTCTTTTAATTAGAACCTGGAGCCTGATATCGGGGTGAAAGCTGAAAGACCAAGGAAGCAGAGCAAGTCACAGCTACCAACTCTACCTCACCAACTCAAAGAGCTCCAGCCAAAGGGGCTTCCTCAGCGAAATTTAGTTCCTGTCTCCTCACGCCTTATGTACCTTTCTCCACCCAGCCATCACTTCCTGGGATTAAAGGCATGTGTGCTTCCCAGTACTGGGATTGAAGGTGTGTGCCACCACTGCCTGGCTCTGTTTCTCTCCTAGACTGAGTCAATCTCGTGTAGTCCAAGGTGGCTTTGAACTCATAGAGATCCAGATGGATCTCTGCCTCCCAAGTGCTAGGATTAAAGGTGTGTGTCATCACTGCCTGGCCTCTATGTTTAACCTAGTGGCTTGTTCTGTCCTCTGATCTTCAGGTAAATTTTATTAGGGTACACAATATATCACCAGGCCTTCAACATGTGAGCCGCTAAGGTGGAAAGATGCTTTATATAAACTCTAACACACACACACACACACACACACACACACACACACACACATTTATGGATACATATGTAAACACAGATTTCTAGATGTTCATACAGCATTTTGGAGACATATACGAGAAGTATACACACATGCTTGTGTATGTGATAGAAATTACAATAATCAACTAACACTTATTAAAATTATACATGGATAGTTACTGATAGCAGATTAACCAATGCATTAATTTCTTCTTTCCTGGACTCTATTAGAATCAAGATTAGACCATAAGATGTATAGATTCATGGAGACAAAAATACTGAATGTATTTATCAGATTTAATGGCTTCTCTGCCTGCATATATATGGAGAGGAAGGCAAAGGAAATCAGGTATGTCCAGAAGAATCTCAGGAGGCAGAATTCCAGGCCAAATTGTAATGAGACATAGGCTCAAGTCTAAGGTCGGGGAGATCAGATGGTTCAATTGACTGACAGCCCTTTACTCAGGCTTATGGCATCAACATGTGGGACCGTGTCCCAAGCCATGGTTTCAGGTGATTTTTAAAGAGCGTTGAAGCCTCTAAGGAAACACACTTCCACGTGCTTGTTCCACAGAGTTATAAAACAATTACAAATCAACAGAACCTCCCAGAGAATGGCATGAAAAGATTGTGATAGGAAAACACACAGAAGCTAGCCAGTGGTGGTGCACACCTTTAATCCCAGCACTGGGGAGGCAGAGGCAGGCGGATCTCTGAGTTCCAATCCATCTTGGTCTACCGAGCAAGTTCCAGGAAAGCCAAGCCTATACAGAGAGATCCTGTCTTGAAAAACAAAAAGCAAAGCAAAACAACAAGACAATTACACACACACACACACACAAACACACACACAAA